CTGAGCCATCTCCCCGGCCCCAATATTTTTTATAAAAAATTAAACTATTCTTAAATTGCCTCAGTCCATTACAGGTACCATAGAAAAATACAGGACTCTATGGTAACTTAAAAACAACAGAAACATATTGCTCATAATCCTGGAGGCTGGAAGTTACAAGCTCAAGGTGCCTGAGGGTTTAGGATTTCTTCCTCCTAAATGGTGGCTTCTAGCGGGGTCTAGTGGTGGAAGGGGTGACTGACCTCTTCAGAGTGTTTGTTCTAAGGGAACTAATCTCATTCCTGAGAGTTTGGTTCTTGTGACCTAATCATCTCTTACAGTCTCTACTTGTTCATTGACTGTTACACTGGAGATTAGGTTTCAAAATGTGAGTTTGGGTGGATGTGGAACACAGGCATTCAGACTATATCAGTATTCTAATACTCAGTGTCATCTAGGGACCAAGGGAAAGAGTCCGCATCAAGCTTCACACAGCGTGTTACTCTACTTACTACCTAAACGCACATTGCAGAAAATTATGAATTATTTCAGATTGCAAAATATTGCTCAGTCACTATGTGCAACTTTTCCAAATACCATTCGAATTAGTGTGACCCACAAACAGAACACAAAAAGCAGAAAGAAAATGGATGTGTGGCACCGCTGAGAAACAGGCCTTCCTTATACAAGAATCTACTGCATTCATGTTATTGGAGAGGAAGGATTTGACAAGTTAATTTGTCTTTTCTCTCCCATAAGACCTCTGCCACTCAAATCCAAAGCGCTCTGTTTCCTGCACAGGCAGCACACACACGGTGGCACAATTCACTCTGTTTCGTAGACACTGGGCACACACAAGCTGCAAAGGCGCATCACCCAGGGACTTGGCGATGAGAGGTATTGAGAGAGTGGTGTTTAGGCTTATGTCATGCGGGTTCCATGCTGAGGACAGAATACAGAGTGGCAAAGGCACTCATGTTTTTAAAATAAATGTAATATACTGTCTTACAAAGCTCTGCACCGTGAGTAGGGCCTCTCTTGCTTTGCATCTCAAAGTGGGATTTCAGGACAGCAAAAAAAGATGTTATAAAAACCTGGAAGTAACTAAAAAGCAGTTCTAAAACAAGAGACAGACAGACAGACAGAGAAAACCAGACGTGACATGGTAGCATACCTGTAATCCTAGCACTCAGAGGAAGATTGCTATAAATCTTTGGTCAGCCTGGACTACATGGAGAGTCTATCTCTAGGCAAAACAAAACAGAACAGCAACACAGTTCAATACAAAATATCTTCCACCACAACAACCACTGAAGAGCAGGAGTCATGGCCCTACACTATCCCATTGCCATAGGCCTCCACAAGGGCCACAAGGTGACTAAGAATGGGAGCAAGCCGAGGCACAGCCGCGGACGCCTCACCAAACACACCAAGTTCCTGCGGGGCATGATCCGGGAGATGTGCGGCTTCGCCCCCTACAAGTGGTGTGCCGTGGAGCTGCTCAAGGTCTCCAAGGACAAATGCGCTCTCAAGTTCATCAAAAAAAAAAAAAGGGTGGGGATGTACATCTGCCCAAGATGAAGCGTGAGGAGCTAAGTGACATGCTGGCTGCCATGAGGAAGGCAGCTGCCAAGGACTGAGCCCCTCTGGAAGAAAATCTATTTATTCAGGGGCCAGCGAGATAGCTCAGCGGACTAAGCTCCTGCTTAGGCAAGTACAGGGATCAGGGTTCGATCACCAGTATCCCATGCCATGCAGAGCCCCAAACCCACCCTTGGGCAGCTCTCCAGGCATGGTAGCACTGCCTGTAATCCCAGCACTGGGAGGCTGAAAATGGGGAGGATCACTCCAAGTCCAATCTGCACAGTGAGACTCTGTACCAGATAGATAGATAGATAGATAGATAGATAGATAGATAGATAGATAGATAGACAGATAGATATTTGGTACAGGGTCTCACTACACAGCTCGGACTTGCAGCAATCCTCCTGTCTCAGTCTCCCCAGTGCTAGGATTACAGGAGTGCTGGGATTACAGGCATGGACAACCATGCTGAAGCACTCAGCACAAAATTTTAACTACAACTCAAATGTCAACCATGCTGTTGTTCTCAGACTAATTAAGTCTAGTTGGTTGGTTTCTCTTAGATAAGAGACTTTGTCAGTCCATAAAGATACAGATAAGGGCTGGAGATGTAGTTCATTAGAGGTATGCTTGAATAATGTATAAGGTCCTGGGTTCAATTCTCAATACTGAATGAAAGTGGTGGGGGTGTAGATGCTTGAAACATTTTAGAAATTAAACACTTTAAGGTCAGTATGGTGGTACATATCTGTAATCCCAGTACTCAGGAGGTTGAGGGATGAGGATCATGTGCTTGAGGCCAGTCTGGAATGACATAGGGAGCAAAAAATGATCTTGGGTGGATGACCTCCAAATGATACAGGGAGAAAAATGATCTCCCATCCTAAAAGGTACGTGGGACGAGTTCCTGTTCTCTAAAACTGAAGAATGAATTTCAAGGACAAATGGAGGTTAAGCAGAATATACTTATTGAGGGAAAGAAAGCTCCTGTCCAAGAGAGGGACAGGAGGGCCCCTCCCCAGTGGGTTGTCCCCAGGAAGCTGTCTCTTCCAGGGACTTTCATAGAGGAAAACCATGTGGTGAGGTGGGTTGTAAGGTGGTGGAGAACATGGGAACTTGCTTAGGTAGGCATGAGGTGGGACAAAACTATGGTCAACCAATGAGATTACAAGCACCATTGCTCAGGTAAAATTGATTAAATCCAGTACCAAATGGGGAAGTGAGTGAGGTAGTGAGCAGGCATGAATACAGGACAGGGTCTCTTCCTGTTGGGGGTTGGGTTAGTGACTCATTGGGGCTCTTTCAAGGTGATTGATAGCTATTTAGAATATCAATCCCTGATGTCCATCCCTAGGGCAGTATGTAGCTGTGTTTCCTCTTTTGTCTTGAGGTCTGACCCATGGGAGTGTCTGTCTCTTCCAAGTTGAAAGTCACCTTGTCTTTCATCTTGTCTCCTTGAGGCCCTGACCCTGTCTGACTGTCTATAATATTCCTATCTAATTCAGCTGCCTACAACAGGACTATATAGTAAGACCTTGCCCCAAACTAAAACCAAAACAAAAAACAAACAAAAAAATCAATAAACCAAGCAAAAATTAAACATATTAACAATATTTAACACGTTAAATTTGTGCCTTTAATTAGAAATACTGTCATTAGACATTTCAAAATGTTCATCAAAGTGCTCCATGTTTTAAAACATAGTTTACATCTCATAGTTTTGAAAGTAGGACGATGATTTAATGTTTACAATAAACAAATAGTTTCCCATTAGTTTCAGGAGCAAGTGCTTCTAATTCTTTTAGTTCTTCCAGTAATTTCCTTCATATTTCAATAGCATACGCCTCTCCTTTGGCTCAGCAGTTGCAAATGGTATCTCTACAACTTCCATTTGTGGTGGATGACAGTTGTTACTGTTATAACCTATGTAACCGTCTCCATTTTTGTAACTAGAACAGCTATTTTGTTATACAACTCTATATGTTTCTGTTATAACCTATGTGATTGACTCCATTTGTAACCAGTATAGTCATTGTATTATACACCTCTGTACATTTCCACTGTAACTTTATTAATGAGGATTGTTTCGTATAAGCTGACAATTTAAACTCCATCTTGGTGGCTCAAGCCATCCATCGGACCTCTGAACACAGTTTGTTAATGTTCAAACTATTCCTTTGTTCTAAACCACAGTGTGTTAAAGGTTAAGATCTGAACTACTTCTTACCCCAGAGCACTCCACACAGTATGTCCCGTGATCAACACTGAACCATAAATTGTAATTATTTGTTCCTGAAAATTGTAACTGCATGTTAAAAAAAATGTAACCTGTGGACGCTGACCCCTGTGCTGCATTCCCTCGTGCTCAAGTCACAAGACCTCCCCTTTGGGCTGGAGAGATGGCTCAGTGGTCTAAAGCACCTATTTAGAACAAGCTTAGTAAAGCATCAGGGACCGCGGTTCAATCCCCCAGCACCACATGCCAGCCAGCCCCGCCCCCTGGTGGGCTGAGCTGGCCACACACACA